ATAAACTAAGATCTAGACTATATATATTAAAACACCTGAGAAAACCTAAATACACAATTTTCTTAAATGCACAAAGATCATTCTCAAAGATCAACCACATACTGGGCCAACAAGCCAAACATCTAGTACTTGGAGAGCCAAATCATGCTAATAATCTTTTCTGACTATAAAGATAGGAAACTAGAAATACACTATAAAAAAAATTCAAACAATTTTTAAAAAGAAAGTTGAAACAAATGATAATAAGGACACAACTTTCCAGAACATATGGGGTACTGCAAAAATGATATTAAGAGGGAATTATATCAGCTTGAAATTCCACCAGTAGTGTAGGAGAGTACCTTTTTCTCCACATCCTTGCCAATATTTGTTGTTGCTAATTGTTTTAATATGTGACTTTTTTCAGTGGTGTGAGATGGTATCTCACTGTGATTTTAATTTGCCTGCTGGCCTTCTGCATCTCTTCTTTGGAGAAGTGTCTTTGTAGCTCTTCTGACCATTTTTTATGGGGTTGTTCACTTTATTTTGTTGGGTTTAATCAGCTCTTTTTGTACCTTTGTGATCAGTCTCTTGTCATTAGTATTGTGTGTAAATATTTTTCTCCCAATCAGTGGGGTGTCTCTTTGTTTTGTGTAGTATCTCTCTTGCTGTACAGAAGCTCCATGGAAAGCTGTTTGGAGGTTTCTCAAAAAGCTGAAAATAGAGCTACCATATGCCCCAGCAATCCCACTCCTAGGTATATACCCAAAGGACACAAAAACATTGATTCAAAAGGACACCTGCACCCCCTTGGTTATTGCTGCTCTATTTACAATAGGGAAGACATGGAATCAACCGAAATGCCCAAAAATTGGTTGCTTGGTTTAAAAAGATGTGGTGCATATACACAATGGAATATCACTCAGCAATCAAAAAAGATAAACTCATGCCTTTTGCAGCAACATGGATGGAGCTGGAAGGGATCATGCTTAGTGAAATAAGCCAGAAAGAAAAAGAAAAATACCAGATGGTTTCTCTCATAGCAGGAGCGTAAGGGATTGGGGGGAGAAAGAGAAAAACAAATATAATAGAGTAAAAATGAAAACAATGAACAACTATAAACCAGACACATTTTATAGGGGTGGAAGGGGGAACAGGATCGGAACTGGGGTAGAAAGAGTGCACTGGACTGTGGTGATATGGTGATGGTACACAGGTGAATTGGTATAGGGATTACAACTGAGATTGAAATACCAAACTGATGCATTGATAGGCTCCAGAATGCTTCTCAACCAGCCAGGACTAAGTTTCGGTTATCAACAAGGCGCAAGGCCGAGTTTAACTGTAAATATCCTAATCTTGTTCATCCCATAGCAATAGCCAATTAGCAAGTAGGCAAGTAACCAATACATATCAGGAAAGCACTATCCTAAGGCATCTGGGTCGAGTAGTGAAGGTCACATCTTAACATGCATAGACCAACCAGGTTAAAACAAGGTAACTTTTTTCAATGACCACCAATCAATGTACTGCTGAGCTAAAAACTCCCCTCTGCTCAGCTGAAACTCCCCACTTCTGTAATGAAAACCCTGCCTTCCCTGAGCTCGGGGCTCTCATGTTCGGCCACTGCATCGACGTATGTTGGGAGCCCAGGCTCGAGCTTGCAATAAAGACCTCTGTGTGCTTTGCATTGGAATTGGCTCGTTGGTGGTCTTTGGGAAACTTGAAATCTGGCATAACAAGATAAAGAAACACAAAATGTAATGTAAATAAAATAAAATAGGGAAGTATATAGCCATAAATATTCACATCAAGAAACAAGAAAATGCTGAAAGAAAAACCAAATTTCCCAACTCGAGGAACTAGAAAAAGAACTAAAAAACCTCAAAGTTAGGAGGAATAATAAAGCCATAAAATGTAAAGCATAAATAATGCCAAAAGCTGGTTCTTTAAAAAAAATTAAAAATAAACATCTAGCTAAAGTCATAAAGGAAAAGAGAATGAAAACTCAGATAAATAGGTCCATAAAGGAAAGAGGAGAAATTATAACAGGTAGCAAAAATCTAGAAGATAACTAAAGAATACTGTGAATATTTATAATCAAGCAAGTTCAACAAGGTAGGTGAGATGCAAAAATTCTTAGAATTATACAATCACCCAAGGCTGACTAAGGAAGAAATAGGCAACTTGGACAAAACAATTACAAGCAGAAAGGGTACTCATGACTCAGAAAACCACAGTTTAGAATCAGATAGTTTCACAAACAAGTTCTACCAAATTTTCAAACATGAATTACTACCCATCCTGTATAACTTATTTGAAAAAGAAAGAATACTACCAAATAAATGGATTACATGAGGCTTACATCAAAATCAAATCAAGACAACATAAAAAAGCAATAAATCCTCAATAAAATCTTAGGAAACTGAGTCCACTAATGCATCAAGTGGATTATATACCATGACCAATGGGATTTATTACAGAAACACAAGGAAGATCAGTATTTGAAGTTTATATAATGTAATTTACCACATTAACAAAAGGAAAATAAAAACTATATGATCATATCAATAGATACTGAGAAAGTATTTAATAAAGTTCAACATTCATTTGTTTTAAAGATTCTCAAAAACTTGGGATAAAAGGAATCTATCTTAACATAATTCTGAAAGTCATCTTTGACAAAACCAAAGATAACATCATTCAATGGTGAAATACTGAAAGCCTTCCTATTAAGATCTGGTAAAAGACAAGGATGTCCAAATCACCACTACTTTTCAACATAATACTGGAAGTCCTAACTCAAGTAACTGAGCATGAAAAAGACATAGAAGGAATCCAAATTTGAAGGTAGTAGTATAGCCATATAATTTGCAGGTGATATGGTTTTATATATATGTGTGTGTGTGTGTGTGTACATATACGTGTGTATGTATACACATATATACATACATATGTATACTTATATATGTATATATGTGTATGTATATATGTATATATACATACACATCCATATACATATGTATACATATATATGTATATGTGTGTATGTATGTATGTATGTGTATATATATATATATATATATATGAAGAAAACACCCATGGAAAACTAAAACAATAAACCAGTTTACCTAAGTAGCAGGTTATGAAATCAGTATCTAAAAATCAGTATCCTTTTTATATGCAATCAGTCTAAATTGAAGAAATTGGGAAAACCATTCTATTTATAACTGCACCCAAAGAACCAAACCAAAACAAAACAAAAAAAACCTGGGAATAAAATGAACAAAGGTGGTGACAGACCTTTACAAGGAAAATTAAAAAACACTGTTAAAAAAATTAAAAATGGCCCTCCCTTGTGGTGCTGTAGGTTAAAGCACAGCACTGAAAAGCTTAAGCCACTGCTGCATGAGTTCGATTCCCGCCTGCCCCGAGGTGACCACATGGCGAGGCAGACCTCTCCTGACCCGCCTGCTACTCCCCTCAGCAGATCTGCCTGTTCTGCTCCCTGCTCTGTCTCTGGTGAATCCTCTCACCCTCCGCATCTCTGGTCTGTATCCCAGTTCTATATGAATAAATAAAAAATCTTTAAAAAAAAAATTAAAAATAGGGCCAGGGCCCTCCCTCGTGTCGCAATAGGTTAAAGTACAGCACTAAGAAGCTAAAGCCACTTCAGCATGAGTTCGATCCCCACCCCAGAGGTGACCGATATGACTCAGGTGACCTACATGGCTCAGCTGCTGCTCCCCTCAGCAGTGTACTTTGTTGATCTGCCTGCAGTTCTGTTCCCCACTCTGTCTCTGGTGAATAATCTCACCGTCCCTGCACCTCTAGCCTGTACCTCAGTTCTGAATGCATAAATAAATTTTTAAAAATCTTTAAAAAAATGCAGAATTGAAGTGATTAGAGGGAAAGAGAAGGTTTAAAGGAGAGAGGTGCCCAATATACGGTAAATGATGAAGGGTGCTTTGGAATTGGGTGTATTGTGGTAAGTTACATCAGGTGAGATGTGAATTTATTCTTTCAAATCATGCAGTGTATGTATACCACTACATAAAAATAAATAAATCATAAAATAACACCACATGCAAAAATTTTAATAGACTACTTATGCATGGATTGCTTTGGTAAGAAAATAGAAACAAAACCTTTAATAACATTCCTAATCTCATTTTTAAAATCTTTTGGGTTTCTGTCAGTCACACAATCAGTACACACAAATCACTTGGTGGTGCAGCCACCATGTAGTTACTCCTCCCTACTTAAGCACATCCTCCATCAGTTGACCCTCTTTATTACTAAGGTCAGACTGGCCTGGAACAAGGTCACATGTCTAATGTGCATGCTGCTCCTTAGTCAGGCATTCATTTTATTTTACAACCACTCCCTCCTGGGCCTCTACTACCACATTTGCATCATCCTGTCTCACTATGGAGATTAAAGCCATTATATAAACTCCCTTGAAAGACTCCTGCACTCTGTATTCCCCACACAGTTTGAATCACTCTTCTAGGTTGGCATATACTCAAAACATACTTGTTAAATAGAAGAACAAATACATTTCTGTATTCAGATGAGTTTTATCAGCTGAACTATTAAAAAGATAGAGTTTAAAATTAACTGGAATTCAGTGGGAGATATGTAAATAAAAAGCTTTAAAATAAAGTTAAAGAACTGTTTAGATTTAAATGGGCTATTGAGTCATGTAGATATATTTGAAGTTCATAGCTGAAATGTCAGCTAACTACACTTTTCAGTTCAATATGGTAATCTGAGGAATGCAAACAGTGCATTGGCCATATCAATTTCACAGAAAGGAAGAAAAATACATGAAAATAAATGACTCGATAGTGCTGTTTTAAAAAGTGCTAAGAATATTCTATGGCAGTTTTATCCAGGATTTGGAATTTCCACATCCCAAACCTTATGCTAACTACCTTCAAAACTCTTTCTGGGTAATAGCAGCCCCTTTACCTGCTTAGTAAGCCCCAAGCCTGAAGTTTGCAAGTGTGGTATGTTACCTGGGCATCAGCAATGTCCACAAAGTTGTACTTGTCAGTGAGTTGGAGATAGTGTACACTGAGCGGAGTGCCCAGAGCTTCCAGTGCTGAGGGGTGGTTACGCAGCTGCTCCAATGCCAACTGGTAATAAGAAGCCTTGGAAAAAGTTTCTAAGGAGGAAAGACAGTTGTCATGATTTTTTTCTTTATTGAACTTGTCCAGGTAGACTCTTTACATAAAGTTAAATGATATAATTCATGTATAGCATGGGAACAGAAACAAATGTGAAACTAGATGGAGGAATAGTTAAGAGACCATCTACTATAAATTATTAAATTTAAAGACTCCTAAATGAAAATATAGAAAGTCAGTATCTGTGGGGAGATAGCAGATGACACTTGGCAAGGACTTGACTTTTCTGTACCCCAATTTTTTAATTTCTCATTTCCTTACTTAATTTCATTTCTTTATTGGTCCATCAAAGGAAACTAATCAGATCTTTTCTAATGTTCCTTTTGATTCCATGACTTCAAAATTGGGGTCAGAAGCTAGGACTCTTAACTCCTAAACATTGCTCCTTCCACTAAAATGAATGTACTGATAAATAAGCATAAAAAGACACAACATCATCAAAAACAAAAGCTTCACGTCGAGAAGTAGGAATGTTCATTTGTCAAGGTTAGAAATGTAAGTCAACATTTCATATAGATAAAATTTATTAACTGCTCTTAATCTCAGCTGCTTTTCTTGAGTAGGTAATAATACTAGGAACTGTAAGAAGCACCTCTACAAAGGTGTACAGTGTGACACATAGAGGAATACAAACATAGGTTTCCCAAATTGGGTTTTGTTTTGGTAACAAGAAAGCACTTCTCTCCTGTAGGCCTGATCACAGTAATGGAAGTAAAAGGTCACTCGAGCCTGAAGAAGCCAGGAACATCCCAGTAGTGCTGCCATTCAGGAATGGGGATACAAGCTGTGTTACAATTTGAATACAATGCCAATCATGACAGGAAAATGAGGAGAAGATGAGTTCAAAAGGCTAATCTTTATTGAGTGATTTCTGTGGCTAAACATTGTATTCACCCTTTCACATCTTGTATTTCTTGGGATCTCGTATGTTGTAAGACTGATTATGCAAAGGCATTAATATCAGCCCTCATCACAGAAATAAGGTAACTGAGATTCAGGAAGGCAAAGGACTCACCCACCAGATCACACAAAGTCCAGGTTTTACCCACCCATAGCTGGGTGTCTTTATTGCAAAAGTTATCAGACCCTGACCCAAAGTACACCTAGACCTGCCCATCCTTTCAGAAAAAGAAAGAAAGTTATATGGTACTTCAGTCTCAATTATTTCTATTTGGGCCATCTCTAGACTCAGGGACCTTCGGGCCAGCTCTGGAGGATATAGGGAAGAATTGCTAGTGAGGACACTGTGCTGGTGCCTATGTGCTGGTGATGCCAATGTCCCTAGGATATGAAAATATGGCAAAGTCAGGGTAAGGAACTAAGATGGACTAGCATAAAGGAGCTCCAAAGAACGTCAATCTAAAAAAATAATAAAAATAATAAATGAAAACTGCTGCTGCTTTGTAACTGATGTCTTGGTAGCTTACAGTAACAGTATAAGCTATCTTTAAATTGAAATTTGTGCTCTGTAATGATGTAAGCAGCAGCTGATTGGATTTTGCATCTTGCACTTTTTATTTTCTGCTCTTATCCGAGAACCTTGCCTAAGGTCACCATCTTAACTAAATTAACAGCAGAAAATGGGAGGACAAAAAGGGTGTGGACACTTGAGAAATGGCCAGGCTTCTCCACCTCTGAACCATTTGATATATCTTTTCCTCTGTTCTTTATATAGTCATAGAAAGCTTGACAAATCTCCACTATGTCTATACCAGAGTAAAAGTCCATCTTCCTTTTTCCCAAGGCTTCTTATGCAAATGCACCCTATTCCTTGTGGCTCTTAGAAAAGCTGGGGTTATATAATAAGGATGCAGCTATAGTGAACAGAAATGTGTACTGGCTTCCAAAATAGCTGTCTCTTCTTTAATTTGAAAACAGCATCTAAAATATTTCCTTTGATGAAGGAATGTGAGCAAAAAGGATAGAGACCATGGCTCCAAAGGTTCATAGACATTACTTACTTTGTATGAGGTAATACACAAGGGTACAGCCCCCAGCAGTCATTACACCAGTCAAAAAGAAGAGTTTTCTCAGAGGTACTGGCATCCTGCTTCCTAAAGACTTAAAAACAAAATATGAGATTTACTTTAGATTCAGGTTTGTGCTAAGGGCCTTTGTCAGGGACCAGGCCCCACAGGATCTGGAAAAGCTTAAGGAGAAGGTCGGCAAGGAATTCACCTTCCATCGTTTGATTCCTTTTAAAATGTCAGGGTTGGTTCTGGAACTAAAGCAAAACTGATCTCCCTCATGTTGCCTGTATCCAGGGCTTAGGCCATGGGGGTGATGGCTGAACACAAAGCAAGCATTCAGCCCTTTTCTCCTGATAAACAAAAAGCAGCCTGTGTGCCAAGTCCAGCAAGGTCAGAAAGCACAACCATTTTTTGCTGCAGGTCAACTGGTAAACAGGAAGTTTAGCCTTCTGTGGCAAGAGCTGGTCTTGTCACTGGCTGACTGGCTTTTTTTTTTTTTTTTTTTCATATTTAAAAAATGTCTCACCTCCTGGATGAGGAAATTGTGGTCATGACTTTCAGGCCCAGTACTGGCTAGAAAAGAGCCAGCTCAGCCCTCTCTGCACATCATACTCACCCTTCCTGCACATCCTGTCTCAGAAAGGCCCAGGTAGGGCAAGGACCTTGCTGGAGCCAATTGTCCTCCCTTCAGGTGACCTTTTAACCAACTACTCACAACACTCAATCTGGACCATTTGGGAAAGCTGCAAGGTTCTGAGCCATAAAACAGAGTAGGAGACAGGCTTAGATTGGGAAGCACAATAAATGCCCCAAGGCCAGCCTCATAAATGACAGCACACACTGAAAAGGTAGGAACGCACTATCCAGCCAAGGGATAGCTTCACTCCAGCTCCAGCAAAGGAGTGTTATATGGGCCACGTCTGGGAGGATCTCCTAAATTTTTATATGAACTGTCCTAATTTTAAATGTTGACAACAAAATTGAAAAAGAAAACAAAATCTAACAAAACACAAAATATGTATAGATAGAGCTTCCAGTTTACTTTTTGTTACTAAGCTATCTTCACCTTCAATGTGGTTTGCATTTTTCAAACAAAGATGTCTTTGTTTGCTGACATCTCTCCAAAAAGAAATGAGATTTGGAGCAAATAAGGAGATTTCTGGTTTAGATAAAGGAAAAGATGGCCCTGGAGCTTATGTTCTAGTTTGAAAGTTTAACCTTAGATTGTATGTGCTTCTTCAGAAAACACAATGAAAATGATCTAGCACTGCATTTCAGAAGAACTGGATATAAAATTAGTTCCTCCACTGGCTGGACCTATTAGTCAAGATAAACACATTCTCACCATCTGCATCTCTGCCAGCTATGATATGGCATACAATAACAACGGTCTAACTAATCATTCTAAACCTGAAAGTAAATGGATACATTAACATGTCTGTGGGAGAAAGTTCCTCATATGGACATTCTTTCTGGGAATTGATAATTGTTTAGGGTTAATGTTAACCAGTTCTAAATTGAGATAATATCAAATTAGAAGGTGAAACTTGATATTACTTATATGTTGTTTTGTTCAACTAAAAAAATTAGGCTGAAACCCCAACTGAGCTGTAACTACTGTTGTAAGAATGTTTATCAAAGGTTACTGTAAAGTCAGTTACTGGGAAGAGCCATTTGATTCATAATGAAAGTGGTGAGAACATCTCTAATGAATGCATTAGTCAGATCTTGCTTAAAATGCAGGTGAGCTTAACAGGGTGGAGTGAGTGCATGATTGATGTGGTACTTCCCATATGTAGTAGAGAATGGCTACCTGATTCCTCAACTGAGGTTACAAAAACAAGTGAACACTAAACAGAAGACACCTGAAATATACTGTGTTCTAATGTGTAATGTGTTCTAGTGCATAGTGTGACCTGAGAACATTCACTATCTTTTGCCACTTCATGGCCCAGCTTTGTTGAAAAATAAAAGGAAAGTTGTCCTGAAATTAAAGATTTTACATTAAAGTCATTTTTTTTTTCAAAGCCAGCCTGGTTTCTTGTTTCATACATTCAAGATGTATTTTTTTTTAAAGATTTTATTTTATTTGTACATACAGAACTGGGGTACAGGCCAGAGGCTCAGGGGCGGTGAGAGGCTTCACCAGAGACAGAGTGGGGAGCAGAACAGGCAGATCTACGAAGTACATTGCTGAGGGGAGCAGCGGGCGGGTCAGGAGAGGTCTGCCACGCCATGGGGTCACCTCCGGGGCAGGCGGGAATCTAACTCATCGGAAGTGGCTTTAGCTTCTCAGTGCTGTGCTTTAACCCGCTGCGCCACCAGGGAGGGCCCAAGATGTACTGTTTAACTCCCCACTGCCCAATAAAAGGCAAAGAAGTTAGCATTTAAAAGTTAAGCATAACCCCATCGGTTCCACTTTGTAACCTAGATTTGCCTTTCTAATCTTATAACTGAATACTTCTATAGCAAAAGCAGTGAGTAATCTTTTATTCTTAACTCAGGCTAATCATGAGGTAAGCAATCAGCATGAGGGACTTGCCCTTGGTTAAAGGGAATTAAGAATTACTAAAAGGTTGTCCAACATTTTTTTTTTAATTTTTTATTTATGCATACAAAACTGAGGTACAGGCCAGGGGGGCAGGGGCTGTGAGAGGATTCACCAGAGACAGTGGGGATCAGAACAGACAGATCAATGAAGTACACTGCTGAGGGGAGCAGTGGGCGGGTCAGGAGAGGTCTGCTGTACCATGTGGATCACTTCCGGGAAAGGAGATTGAACTCGCACTGAAGTGGCTGCGGCTAGATTGCAGTGCTACATCCTAACCTGCTGTGCCACCAGCAGGTCCAACATTCTATCAAAAATATCTATTAGTGAATCTGTTTACAAGGCAGGGAGAGGGGCACCCATAGGTTTGTCGCATCAAGACAAACATACAAGACCTTTAACAGAAAGGAACTTTAACACAATTCGTGGGCAACACAGAAGACTAAGAATACAGTTTCTAAATCAAACACCCAAAGTTACCCATCCCCTTGTGGGTAAAAGTCTACCCAAAAGGAACTGGCCCAAAGCAAGTTCTGAAAGCCCAGCACATATCTAATGCACCTTCTGGTGGGTACCCATAGAAGGTCAGAAATGGCCAGACAAGTCTGTGCAGAATAGAGCAAAATCTAAACCAAGATAAATGCTGCCATAGTTAACTTCCCAATGGGTCTCTCACCAACATCTGTTTCAACCAGTCCCGGACCAAGAAACAAGAGCCTCTTCTTCACATGTCTCTCTGCTCCTTGTGCTTCCCTCAGGTGACCTTCTGGCTTTCCATCCTGCTTCCTTCCCCTTCAGACTCCTCCCCAGATTCTTTTCTTCTGTGCTCAGCTTCACCCTCCTTTTTGGTGGGGAAGGGAACCTGGAACTTCCCCTTTTCCTGAAGACTATCTGGTAACCTCGAGAAGAGGAAACCCCAGGTTGAGTCTGTTGAGACCAACTTTGTTCCTGAAACCTACATGGAGTGGACATCATTTCACTCTGATACTAGATGGCGTATTCCAAGAAGGCCAACTGAAAATTGCTGTTTAGTTATTCTGCCCTGTGATTTTATGCAAAAAAAGAAAAATAGCTAAAAAAAAGAGTAGCTTGAGTTTGCAAATAGTTTGCATATTGTTGGGTAAAGTTGGGATCAAGGTTGAGAAAACTTGTTTTTTGAAAAGTAACCAGTTTTTAAAGATTTTGTTTGTTCCTACAACTTTGATGTATATACCATAAGTTTTTGTCTCTTAACATGTACTGATGAACTATTTTCCAGTAATGGCCATCGTATATGGGCACTCATGGACAATACTGGTGACTGATGGCTGCTTCTTTTGCATACATGGGAAACCTTAACATGACTATCTCTTAGGACTGCACCCTAAAATCAGTACCACCATAGAAATGGTGGTATTAAAAATCAAAAGCGGGGATTGTAACAGGGTGGTACCCAGAAAAAGGGGAGGCTCTAGGTTCCCTACCCCACCCAGAAGGAGGGTGGAGCTGAGCAGAGAAGAGAGGAGATTGAGAAGGAATGGGATGGAGAGCCAGAAGGTGACCTGAGAAAGGAACATGGAGCAAAAAGAGACATGTGAAGAAGAGGCTCCTGATTCCTGGACCTGAACTGATTGAAACAGATGTGGGTGAGAGAGAAGTGCAGAGGCTGACTATGGCAGCATTTATCTTGGTACAGATTTTGCTCTTTTCCTCCCAGACTTGTCAGGCCATTTCTGAACCTTTTCATGGGCCCCCACCAGAAAGTGCTTTAGACTTGTGGTGGGCTTCCAGGCCTTGCTTTGGGCCAATCCCTTCTGGGTAGACTTTTACCCATGAGGAGATGGGTAACTTTGCCCTTTTCCAGTGTACTGCTCAGTTCTATACTTCCCAGTGTGGTTGTGAATCCTTTAACCAACAACAGCAGTGAGACTTTTGTATAGAAATCACCCTTCCCTCTCTTAAAATGCACTGCCTTTAATGTTCCAAACATTTGGTCTGTCCTGATGTGTAGAACAATCACTCATTCATTATGCAGGGACCACTGTTTTGTTTACATATGATTTGGCTACAAACATATAAAGGAGGCTAGTGTCTTCATTTTTCTACCATCCTGACAGATACCGTCAGAATAATTAATATCATTAAATGTTCAGACTACTAAAAGTCACTTATAGATTCATCATAAGCCCTATCAAAATCCCAATGACATTCTTCATAGAAATTTTAAAAATCCTAAAATTTTCATAATTATGAAAAAAATTAGACAGCAATAAAAACAAACATTGCAGGCAATTACACAAAGAAATGAGTATTAAAAAACCAAGACTTTATTTCTGTAAAATGTCAAAAAGAAACAAAACTACACAGGGTCCTCCCTTGTGGCCTAGTGGTTAAAGTCTCAGTTCTATTACCACTACGGCCTAAGTTTGATATTGGCCAGGGAGTTATAACCCGCATATGGCACAGCAGACCTCTCCTGTCTTGTCTGCTACTCCCTCTCCTCAGCAATGTATTTCAGTAAATCTACCTGTTCTGCTTCCCACTCTGTGTCTGGTGAATCCTCT